ATGTTTATCACAGGACTTATTTATTTGTGTATAATATGTATGTTATATGCATTCTTAATTATGGGAAATTAAATTCTGGAAAAAATATATCTGTCGTATATAAACATTTCAGTCTGTCAGCATAAACCATGAAATTTACGATCTTTCAACTCTGTTGTTTTTCACCAAAATAATATTCTAATAAGAGGCCCCTATTTCTAACTTTGAGAGCGCCCTGGGCGCTTATTATGTCGAATAAGGTACCTTAAATAAACCTCATAAACCTCAATCTTGAATATTTCCTATTTTTATTTTTTTCACTTGCCGTATTCAACGTAATAAGCGCCCCGCTCTAATAAGCACCCGCAGCGATATTTGTTAATATATTGGCTAGTGAAAATCCCAATAAGCACACCTTTCAATTGATCAGTGTACACTTATTTATTCATGTATAGTACGCACTCGTGTGTTATAGGCACCCTTAATTATGGGCAATTAAATTCTGGAAAATATATCTGTCGTGTATAATACACACAGACTTTTCTTTTGTATCATTTCAGGCTGTCAGCATAAACCACGAAATTTACAATCTTTTAACTGTTTTTTTCTCTCACCAAAAAATCATATTCTAATAAGAACCCACTAATTTCTAATTTTGAGAGCGCCCTGGGTGCTTATTACGTCGAATATGGTCTATAATTTTGTCGCTTTGTCAATTTCCTAAGCACCATGGCACTTATTATGGGGAATACGGTAGCTGAACACCGTAACTACTGTGTAGCCCCTTCATTTGAAGGCCATCCCCCTTACTTTGGTTCTCATGAATACATACAACATGGGGTTAACGTCCTCTCAGTGTACATACCTATTGAGTTTGGCTTACATGACAGGTTAAACATACTCTTGTGTCTGGCGGCCACTGTTCAATTGTCCAAAGTGCTTGTAATAATTTACATAAAAATACTCCAAGTCAGTGGGTGCCCCAACCACACAGTACTTCCCACTCCTGACTTGCTGTCATTACCATGAGAATACTGTCAGTCTGTGTGTACCCTTCATGTGTATACACACTCAAGTTAAACACATCCACAATAGCACTGTCACAGCAAGGTCACACCATGGACAACAGTGTTCTTAAAAGAATTCAAATCCTTATTTAATCGTTCTGATACAATTATTAATAATTTTGACCTAAAATACGGTCATAGATCATGCCAATTGTCCACTGTCGCCTTAGGCTCGGCTGTAGTGACCTAAACGCTGATAAGTTTAGACGACGTGTATCAGACATATCAGACTGCACTTGTGGGTATCACTTTGAAGACGCAATTCACTTTTTCTATACCTGTCAAAAATACCATAATATCAGAAACACTATGTACTTCTACACACATGGGTATGATTTTAAAACGGTATTACATGGCAATAGTTCAGTTAGAAGTTCTACAAACATGACTATTCTTAAATCAGTTCACGATTTCTTTGTCAAAAGCAAAAGATTTGAGTAGCTTAATTTTATGCATGTAGTAATGGTGCTATATCTTATTTCACAGACACCACTTGTATTGGCTTCGTATATTTCATTTGTGCATTTAGTATGTTTATGTTTATCACTATTTTACAAATAATCTGATATATAACCAGCTGTTGTAAAGTTATTACCTGGAGAGGTATTTACATAAGCAAGTTTTGCTTGTTTACCGATCCAGATTTCTTTTGAAATAAAAATATGTTTAAACCCAAACAGAGTTCTAGGGATTATACTCACATTAACAGATGTTCATATCTTGCACATATACCATATCTATCTGATTATGTATTCATATATATTTGGTGTTTGTACTGAATTAATGGGTTACGGGTATGAGGTGAAGAGACAGCTAGGACATCTGACCACAGATGTGACCAAACAAACAGAGAAATAATGTGCAGTATATTGCTTGTTCATACTCAGTAATATCCCAGCTATGTGATGGGGCTGTTGGTGAGTGAGTAGGGTTCAACACAGCTTTTAGAAATATCCCAGCTATGTGATGAGGCTGTTGGTGAGTGAGTAGGGTTTAACACAGCTTTTAGAAATATCCCAGCTATGTGATGAGGGTTGTGGGTGAGTGAGTAGGGTTCAACACAGCTTTTAGAAATATCCCAGCTCTGTGATGGGGGTTGTAGGTGAGTGAGTAGGGTTCAACACAGCTTTTAGAAATATCCCAGCTATGTGATGGGGCCTGTAGGTGAGTGAGTAGGGTTTAACACAGCTTTTAGAAATATCCCAGCTATGTGATGGGCTTGTGGGTGAGTGAGTAGGGTTTAACACAGCTTTTAGAAATATCCCAGCTATGTGATGGGGTTGTAGGTGAGTGAGTAGGGTTTAACACAGCTTTTAGAAATATCCCAGCTCTGTGATGGGGGTTGTGGGTGAGTGAGTAGGGTTTATCACAGCTTTCAGATATATCCCAGCTCTGTGATGGGGGTTGTGGGTGAGTGAGTAGGGTTTAACACAGCTTTTAGAAATATCCCAGCTCTGTGATGGGGGTTGTGGGTGAGTGAGTAGGGTTTATCACAGCTTTCAGATATATCCCAGCTCTGTGATGGGGGTTGTGGGTGAGTGAGTAGGGTTTAACACAGCTTTTAGAAATATCCCAGCTCTGTGATGGGGGTTGTGGGTGAGTGAGTAGGGTTTAACACAGCTTTTAGAAATATCCCAGCTATGTGATGAGGGTTGTGGATGAGTGAGTAGGGTTTAACACAGCTTTTAGAAATATCCCAGCTATGTGATGGGGGTTGTGGGTGAGTGAGTAGGGTTTAACACAGCTTTCAGATATATCCCAGCTCTGTGATGGGGGTTGTGGGTGAGTGAGTAGGGTTTAACACAGCTTTTAGAAATATCCCAGCTCTGTGATGGGGGTTGTGGGTGAGTGAGTAGGGTTTAACACAGCTTTTAGAAATATCCCAGCTATGTGATGAGGTTTGTGGATGAGTGAGTAGGGTTTAACACAGCTTTTAGAAATATCCCAGCTCTGTGATGGGGCCTGTAGGTGAGTGAGTAGGGTTTAACACAGCTTTTAGAAATATCCCAGCTATGTGATGGGGGTTGTAGGTGAGTGAGTAGGGTTTAACACAGCTTTTAGAAATATCCCAGCTATGTGATGGGGGTTGTAGGTGAGTGAGTAGGGTTTAACACAGCTTTTAGAAATATCCCAGCTATGTGATGGGGCTGTAGGTGAGTGAGTAGGGTTTAACACAGCTTTTAGCAACATTCCAGCAATATTACGTCGGTCGGACACAGGAAATGGGGAATCAAACCTGGGCCTTCGACATAATAAGAACATAAGTGAACCTTCATCACACAAATCAGTGGTTACCCCCACTTCTACTTCTGTCTTATCCCTGTGTTGTGTTTTACGCAGCTCTTGGCAATACTCCAGCTGTATGACAGCGACCTGGAAATAATCAAGTCTGGACAAGACAACCCAGTGATTGTTATTACGAGTATTGAACCATGACGTTGGGTGCGTTGACACTCCATCAACCAAGACTGAAGTCAGGGAGTCTGACCACCGATCCATTTCGTCGCCTCTTACAACAAGCATAGGTTGCCATGGACTTATTCTAACCTGTAATCTGAATGTAAGGGTTAGTGGAGTGGACAGGTCATTGTTTGACACGACACAGCGAGAGCAAAGAGGTCATTCCCTGTCGGTGATGATTAGATCTGAGGAAAAGAAAAGACACGGAAGAAGGATTTCCATTCATTTATGAACCAAAGACTACCTATGTACATTGAACTAGTCACAATATGTACAAATCAGAACAAACTCATATCTCCAAGAATCAACAGAAACAGATTCTTGTTTCATTTCTTGTTTGTCTGTTGTTTAACGCCGCACTCAGCCATATTCCATCCATATATGGTGGTCTGTAAATAATCACGTCTGGACCAGACAATCCAGTGATTGACATCACGATCATCGATCCACGCAATTGGGATACGATGACATGCATCAACCACGTCAGTGAGCCTGACCACCTGATCCTGCAAGTTGCATCTTACGACAAGCATAGTCGCCTCTTACGGCAAGCATGGGTTGCTGAAGACCTATTCTCTACCCGGATCTTCATGGGTCAGGTTTCATTGCATCAGCACAAAATATGTTTTCTCACCACGAGTACTGTGAATGCACATGTACAACATAAAACTTCAAAGACATGGAAATAACCAGTCTCAATTATCTGCTGAAACAGCTTCCATTGGGCATAAAAGGCAAAAGAGAGGTCAAAATTATATGAATGGATCACTGAACATTAGTAATGACCCAAGGTGTTTGTGAAAAGGGCAAGATCATTTTCTATCCCATAGGCTTAAACACAGAAAGATAAACATTGTTAGCTGCTGAGCTGACTTAAAGATGTGGGTGGCTGGTCGATTCCATGCAGCAGAGCAGGCAGTACTTTATTCTTCATGGAGGTGTGATTCAATTTGTTTAAAGCTACCAATCATTTTATTAAACTTTAAAAGTCAAATTCCGTGTCATGAATTATGAATTTGTTTAACATCCTTGCAATTATATTTTAAGCTGAGGGGGCGGTCGGGTAGCCTAGTGGTTAAAGCGTTCGCTCGTCACGCCGAAGACCCGGGTTCGATTCCCGACATGGGTACAATGTGTGAAGCCCCTTTCTGGTGTCCCCCGCCGTGATATTGCTGGAATATTGCTAAAAGCGGCGTAAAACCAAACTCACTCACTCAATTTTAAGCTGAGGGCACAAATATCAATAAAATATCACTCAAAAATAAGGGGTAAAACTCATGATTACCGTATTCGACGTAATAAGCGCCCCACTCTAGTAAGCGCCCACGGCGATATTTATTAATATATTGGCTAGTGAACAATCCCAACCAGCACCCTTTCAGATTGATCAATGTACACAGGACTTATTTATTTGTGTATAATACACATAAAACACACTGTGTTATATGCACCCTTAATTATGGGCAATTAAATTCTATATAATAATATAAAAATATATCTGTCGTATGTAAACATTTCAGGCTGTCAGCATAAACCACGAAATTTACGATCCTCCAGCTCTGTTTTTTTCCCCACCAAAAAATTATTCTAATAAAAGCCCCCTACTTCTAATTTTGAAAGCGCCTGGGCGCTTATTACGTCGAATACGGTCAGCCCAGTATTTTAGCACAAGCATTCTCAGTACACTTCAGAGGCCCATACACCTACACTGACATAGAACAACAGAACTGTCAATACAAGTGGACACAAGTGGCCTTCATACACTCTCTACGGTAAATGATCACGCACACACAAGCGACACGCTGTCCCTACTCCAGCCCAGAGACACCCTGATGGTCAACAACAAAAGCACAGGCTCCAGGTGGAAGATGGGGGGCAAACATGACTTCCAACATCCTCACTGCACACTCTATGTCATCACTCCGCCGGCCCCCACTGGCTGGCTGAACTTGCACGGCCACCTTCTGGTGAGTCCGTCGCAGCATCAAGCGGCACGTGATGTGATTGGCCCAGGACAATCCCAGCGCAGGGAGGACCTGGCTCCGGCTGCTGTTTGGGGACAGGTTAGCAGACACCTGGAAAATACAAACAAAACTTAATGAATGTGGATTGTCACGATAACAAGGTGCTTGCATCGGGAGGAGCATCTGCTTGGAATCGGATTAGGCAGGATGGGGAACATTTTTTAACCCCAAGATTATTGTCCACTGTGTTTTTTTAACATGGGTGACAGTGTTGGGATTTAACTGTTCTGGTGTACAATTTCTTTGACAAAAAAAACCAAACTGAAACCAACATGACATATATATATAAGTATTGAGATAGAAAGGTAATTACAGTGTAGGGAAACCGACTCTTTCTTCTATGCACTCACTCAAACAGTTATATTCAGCAATATTCCAGCTATATGACAGCAGTCTGTAAATAATCAAGTCTGGACCAGACAATCCAGTGATTGATATCATGAGCATCGATCCATACAATTGGGATACGATGACATGCATCAAACAAGTCAGCAAGCCTGACCACCCGATCCGTTAGTCGCCTCTTACGACAAGCATAGTTGCCTTTCACGGCAAGCATGGGTTGCTGAAGATATGGTTATAGGATGCTGTAGCAGGGACTAGGTGGGGGTCAGTTCACAGTCCTGGCATGTTGGATACAAGTCAGTTACCGGTACTAGTAACACCCATTCTATTTGCCTTACAGTGATCACACACAAATAGCCTGACAATTATCAAAAACTTTTCTCGGGCAATGATGCCAGTTTTCCATGACATTATGTCAATGAACAGACTTTGGGAGGTGTTAAAGGTCTGATGGTGGAGTTTTATTTATTTCCCTGTCGCTGATTTGTCACTAGAAAGAAACTACTGGTTTAAAAATAATAAATATTATTTTTCCATGACGTTTTCATGCCTTTATCACAATTTTCTAGTTTACAAAACTATTCCAGGCCTGGGAAACTCAAACTGAAACTCCATGATGTTTCCAGGGTTTCGTGACCTGAATGAACCCTGTGTCTACTAACACGCATGTTACAGATCATCCTCGGACTACTCAGGTTAACCTGATTACACAGGCACCATGTCCCAGTTTCACACAAGACACTAAGTTTACAGATTGACTAACTGGAGCCTTGACCCTTGTGCCCTCAGTATTATCATGTGATGTCATTGTTCACGCATGACAACACATTATCCGTTATGTATGGCCTGAAGAGGCTAGCTGGAGCTGAAAACACGATCCTATGGAAGGATTAATTTACTCCAAGTATATATTTTGTACCTGTGTACAGATTGTGTGTTGAATTTTGTAAACTTTGTATATACACTGCTCAACATTTGCTGAGGACCACACCTTTGACTGAAGATGACATTTGGTCCTTAGCAAAAGTTGAACAGTATATATTGTATTCCCTAGACTGTTCTTTGTTTGATGGAATAGAATGATAGAAAGATGCAACAACAAAACTCATACCAACTTAAAGTAACTATTACTTAGTCAACACTAATGTCAACTGCATGTTTCTGCTTGTGAATAAATATTGAGCTATGCCAGTAAAAACATATCAGTGCATGTAAATAATTAGTGAGTGAGTGAGTTGGGTTTAACAGTATTCCAGTTATATCGCGGCGTGTCAGCTTAATGTGGTTGGAAAGTCCGAAGTGATGCAGGTCTCAGACATTTACCACTTCGGTGAAACCCATGAGCACGAGTGAGTGAGTGAGTGAGTGAGTGAGTGAGTGAGTGAGTGAGTGAGTGAGTGAGTGAGTGAGTGAGTGAGTGAGTGAGTGAGTGAGTGAGTGAGTGAGTGAGTGAGTGAGTGAGTGAGTGAGTGAGTGAGTGAGTGAGTGAGTGAGTGAGTGAGTGAGTGAGTGAGTGAGTGAGTGAGTGAGTGAGTGAGTGAGTGAGTGAGTGAGTGAGTGAGTGAGTGAGTGAGTGAGTGAGTGAGTGAGTGAGTGAGTGAGTGAGTGAGTGAGTGAGTGAGTGAGTGAGTGAGTGAGTGAGTGAGTGAGTGAGTGAGTGAGTGAGTGAGTGAGTGAGTGAGTGAGTGAGTGAGTGAGTGAGTGAGTGAGTGAGTGAGTGAGTGAGTGAGTGAGTGAGTGAGTGAGTGAGTGAGTGAGTGAGTGAGTGAGTGAGTGAGTGAGTGAGTGAGTGAGTGAGTATGGTGTAACGCCTCTTTTACCAATAATCCAGCAATATCAAGGCGGGCGACACAAGAAATGGGCTTCACACATGGAACTAATGTGGGAAATTAAACCCGGGCCTTCGGTGTGACGAATGAACGCTTAAACCACTAGGCTACCCCACCGCCTGGTCTTTATAAACTAAAGGACATTGGCTCTGATCAGTTGGATGAACAAGCAAGATTCAAGTTGTTAACCACCTCTTTCTTTGTAGGCTAATTCAAATATATTAATAATAATGATGATGATGATGATAATAGAATATGATGATGATGATAATAATAATAGATGATGATGATAATAGAATATGATGATGATGATAATAATAATAGATGATGATGATAATAAATGATGATGATGATAATAGATGATGATGATGATAATAGATGATGATGACAATAAATGATGATGATGATAATATATGATGATGATAATAAATGATGATGATGATAATAGATGAAGATGATGATGATGATAATAGATGATGATGATGATGATGATCCAGTTGTAAAGTGCATAACTCCATGCGCAAGGCTTGAAGCACTGCCGTATTATTACTTGAGTCAATGAATCAGTGTGCACGCAATGTTAAATCCGATTATTCATAACAGTTCACCTGAGTCTGATTGTACTGGCTGCAGTTTTACTTCCTCAGAAACAACTTGAGAGAGAACAACTGATAAATAAGGAAATAATTCTATTGTTTGCTACACTTTGATTCTATCCATACTTTACTTAAGAACTGGAGTATTAGTTTGAAATAGAGCTGAGTATAGTGTCCATTGTACACATACCGTATTCGACGTAATAAGTGCCCAGGGTGCTCTCAAAATTAGAAATAGGGGGCTCTTATTAGAATGGTATTTTGTTGGAAAAAAAGAGAGTTGAAAGATAAATTTCGTGGTTTATGCTGACAGCCTGAAATGTTTATATACGACAGATATATTTTTCCAGAATTTAATTGCCCATAATTAAGGGTGCATATAACACACGAGTGCGTATTATACACGAAAAAATAAGTCTTGTGTACATTGATCAATCGGAAGGGGTGGGAATTGGGATTGTTCACAAGCCAATATATTAATAAATATCGCCGTGGGCGCTTATTAGAGCGGGGCGCTTATTACGTCGAATACGGTATTCAGAAACAAAAGTGTGTAATTTTTGTAACAAATACCGTAATTTATGAATTTTTAAGTACGGTTTACTTGTTTTACAGATGAGCCTTACTCGGAGGAGTAAAATTGCTCTGTTTGATTGAAAACATACTTATTTTTTACATATTTTATAATAATTTTAAATTTCATTTTAAGCTTTATGTTATTTTTATTTTTATAATTAACCTGGCAACTCTGACAATGTATTCTTAGTTTTGCATTTTACCTCCTGTCTTTTGGCATCTTGTCTAAGAACATCCGATAAACAAGAACATAAATTCAGTATTTTAAACTAAGAATTAATCTGGATTTGTTGTTATCATGGTTATAACCCTAATGTTAAGGTATAATCTTAGGGCTTTCTACATTCCAATACACCAAACCTCACGTACCCCAAGATCCTCCTTAATGTCTAACACTGAAACTGTTTGTTTGTTTGTTTGTTTAACGCAGCACTCAACAATATTCCAGCTATATAACAGCAGTCTGTCAATAATCGGATCAGGACCAGACAATCCAGTGATTGGCATCATGAGCATCGATCCACACAATTGGGATACGATGCCATGCATCAACCGAGTCAGCGAGCCTGACCACCCGATCCTGTTAGTCACCTCTTGCAACAAGCATAGTCACCTCTTACGGCAAGCATGGGTGGCTGAAGACCTATTCTACCCCGGATCTTCACTTGTCCCCTGAAACTGGTCTAATCTAATAATCAATATTCAAATAACTTCAATCTCTATGACAACATTCACAGTTACTTTAAAAACTTCAATCTTCTGTCCTGTTTATTACACTAGTGATACAAAACATGTATCAACAACTCTGTCTCAAAGACATCCTTTCGACTGGTGACCTTGGAATGACACCACACGACATTTCCTGGACAAGTGCACCTATCTGCCTACTGCTTCTCACTGCACCCCAGTGCAGAACACGGCCATCAAGTCGGTAGTCCTGACACCCACAACAACTGTAAACTGTGATGACACCTGAAGGCTAGCAGCGGCAGAGCTTGACAGACCGGGGCCACAGTGACTCATTCACACTACAAATAGATGGCCAGCAAACCGATGTAAAAGGGCAAGTGTGCACAAACGTAACTTGCATGTCACTAAACTGATGTGACAGATAAACAAGGACCATTACCTACCAGCTGAATATAAACATGAAAAATGTAACAAAAACTGAATTTAACTTTTTAGGATTAAAGTGCGGAAGCCTTTGAGGGCCATTTGTTTTTAAAAAAATAAATTCGACACTATCTTGAAATATAAGATGATTAGCTTGAAATTTCAACTCAGTATGTATCTTAAAATTTCAACTTATTATCTTGAAATTTCAACATAACATCCTGAAATTTCAAGAAAAAAATAAATTAACAAATGGCCCTAAAAGGCTTCAGTATTAATGATTTATGAGATCAAAATTAATTAATTAATAGATTTTCATCCACACCCGCATCTCTGCCAAAAACTGCCTCATATTATGCTTTCCCCTTGGATCCCCTTGCAGAAAATGACTGTGGGTGTTGTTGGGCTGTGCTGGGTACTCGTTTACCAGATAACGGGTCAGGAATATATGGTCTCAGGTCTGTTTTTAAGGACTCAAGAACCTGGTGTTGACAAGGAGATACAACTCTCGTTAGCAGTGCCGGTGACTGCGATATGCTGATAAAATGGAAAGGTTCTCTCATTGTATGGTCTCACTTTAAAACCGATAAGT